CTCCTTCTCTCTCTTTCTCTCTCCTCGGAGACTGAGCAGTGACGCAGCCATGCTGATTACCACTTGCATCCGTTTACCTTACCAGCTAGATATGTTAATCATCTGCTGGGTGATTGCCTCTGTAGTGCCTTGATTAAGTTGAGTGACACGTCAAGGAAGTGTGCCTCAAAGCCATACTTCCCCCACCTGAGGAGCCTGTTATTATTTTGGAGTCACAGCCTAAAGTGTCCCCCCATGAAACGACTAATTATCCAACATTGGTTCCACAGGTCTCCTCTTTAAGAGAAAAGTGACTCCTTTGATAGTGATATGAATCTCGGCTCTGTAAAGGAACGACACATTCCCCTGGTGGAGAAAAGCCCTCAGCAGCTCATCAAATACTCAACCTCCTCCTCTTTTATTCCACTGATCTTATTTCCCGTCTCGCATATATTCATACATAATGACAGACATCCGTGAAGTGATACAGCACATGCGCTTTCTGAACATCTTGTTCCCTTAATATAACATCTGACCAAAAGTGAGAATCGTTTGTTGATTATGATCTGTCCCTAAAAAGCCAGACAGTTTTTCATAGTGCGGTGTCACACAGGGGTAAACCGAGGTTAGCTCGGCTTTCGTAATTGCTGCCATAACAGGAAAGCGTGTTTAAGCCGTAATTAAAAGTGTGTGGTTTTTAGTGCAAGCGAATCTGTGTTGTGTGCGTGTTTGAAGAGGCTGGGGTGGGTTCTCTTCATCTTCCCTGGTGGCTCTCCACTTTAAAGCAGCCTGCGCGCCCTGCCTCTACTGTCAATCACAGTTTAAAGTTCATGAAATTTCTATGAGGATCGATCCAGGGAGGAGGAGGAGGTAGGAGTGTTTGGGGGTTGCAGGGGTTAGGGATGGGGGAACGGGCCGTAATGATTGATCAGAACTTGCACTTTTAATCTCACTTCTTGATTTATTCCTTCAGAGTGGTGCAAAGAAGCACATTCGGATTTTTCCGGCAGTTGCAGAGCAATGTGTTTCCATGTGCCACAACCTTTTTTGACGTGAGGACAAAGAGGAGATGGATGGGTTGAAATCGATGGCACGCAACAGGGGGTCTTCAGACTTTTGTCAACAAGCCAGATCGGTGACTTCGTGGCGACAGACTAGAACAAGAAAACAAATCGCTTCCTCTCACGTCGCCCCGTTGTGTGTCTGTAAATGTCTTCGCCCTAAAGAGTAGTGGGGCAATCTAAGTGCGAGATACCCATCTGCAGGTGAAAGAGCCGCTTGGAGCCATTCTCTCACATATCAATCATGTAGCACATGAAAATGAGAAATTGAGGCGTGTTGCATCGGAATCCGAACCCGCATCAAATTCCCCATTCCATCAATGTGCCTCCCATGGACAGAGCAGGGCTTGATCAAGTGTTTTAGATGGGCCGAGGGCTCCATCTGAAATTGTTCAGTCTGCGTTAGAGGGAGACCGCTGAAATAGCCTCTCTCTGAATGGCGCAGATACACAGTTGCGATTGTGGCCTAGGGGGGCATGACTATGCTTACAATCGCTACATCACAGAGGCTAAGGAGGAGAGCACGGGAATGGATATGGCACCTAAAAAGCCTGTGTTGTAAAGACAGACGCCATCAGGAAGATGGGAAACATGATCAGCCTGAGGGCCTATTGGAAAGTGGGAACAAGAGAATGTAAATAGAAAAACAGAGGAGGGTAAATAGATGTAAGCCCATCGGAGAGCATGGATGTAAACAAGTGCAGACTGAACGTATATACAGTTGGCGGGAGACAAGTTATTGGGGCTGGGCTGGGAAATTAGGCGCTGTGTTATCTTGTGGAGCAGGGTTGTATGCCATTCATAATAGTTTTTAAGTTACGCTCCAGAATTGGAATTTAATTTGAACTCAGAATAGTTTTTAAATTCCAATTACATTCCTGAATTTGAATTGAGGTAGCAAACAGGATACATCACTGCAATTCAAATTTCATAGTAAGGAAGTGAAATTAAAATGAAAGGAAATTCCAAGAAAAGGAAAACTACATTTTAAATATAAAAGCAAACTTTAAAATGTGGCTTGACAGAGCCTGATTTTAAAGTAAAAAAAAAATGTTTAAAAAGCATTGAAGCTTAAAAGATGGATGGATGGAACGAACGAATAAATGAACGAACAAATAAATGAATGAACAAACAATGGATGGATGGATGGAATGAGCAGATATATAGATATAGATAGAATGATGGATGGATGGAATAAACATATTTTTAATAAACTCTATTGACTGAATTGTGAATTGTGTACAAGGGATTACCTGTTGAATTTGTTTGAATTGCAATTGCTTTTCTTGTCACTCCAATTCAAATCCCAATTCAGCTTCCTATGTGTTGTGTGTGGAGCCAATTATTCATTTACATTCTCTGCTTTTTCTCTCATTCTGGTTGTATATATTTTCCTCTCCTCTTTAATTTCCCTCCCTCTTTTATTAGTAAGCATTGCCCTCATTAGATCTGGCTATCATGAGTTGGTGCATGTTGAGTGGTTTTCCAGTCAGCCCTATTTGACCTCTGACTTCTGCAAAGCGTGTAATAAGAACAGAGAGGTATGCTGGGATTGATTTTCGAGTTTCACACACTACCTCTAATTTGCTAGATAGATAGCGCTCCGGCGAGCTCATATGTGAGGACAAACGCAGGTGTGCAGTGCAGGTTAACTGCATGTCAGAGGTCAAATGCTCAACGGATTTGCTGATGTGTGTCGATGATGATGGGGGACACGATTCAGACTCAGTCAGACTGCAATGCTGATGATCAAAATCTTGACAGTAATAGATCTAGTTATGCAAACAACATATGAGGAAATGCTTTTTTGTCTCCTATATGGTGGCACATTGTGTTGTCCCGTCCCACTGGACATCTGAAAGAGGAAATCATATTAATCTTTCACTGTTACCTCACACCCCAAAGCAACCTTCTATTTAGCATCAGTAGATCTCAGTGGAGTGTGTGATAACCTTCAAATGAGAAACAGAGAGAGAGAGAGAGAGAAAAGAGATGTGCAGCCCCACAGCGCCTGCAATGAGATGATTAAATTAATAATAAATATACATCCCTCTATTCGTCTCCTCCAACACACACACACACACACACATTCACTCGCCACCTCTTCAGCGAACTGCATTATCTTTCCCTTTTCGCAATCGCACGTCAGGCACAGCAAAGACGCGTGGATGGCTGAGAGGAAGGGAGAAAAAAATCAATACAAATTACGACGGAGAAAGTGGCACTGATGGCTAGAATTGCAGCATATGTTTACACTAAATCAGGCAATCTATCTTCATATGGGCTGTGTAATGCAGGCGGGGTCAGGGTTCGGCCCGCGCACACACACTCTCCAATTACTCCCACTTCTCTGCGGGAGGCAGCCGTATCGATTGGCTGAGAGGACAGAGGCCCTGCAGGCACCCAATGGGGCGCTGGGGTCAAAGTTCAGGGGGATTTTAATAAGAGAAGTAATGGGCTTAATTTCTTGGGGGGTGTGATTGAGAGACAAAGCCCTCCCTCTCAAGTCTCCTGTCCAACGGTTCATTAAAGTGCAAGTTTTATGGGATTGCTTTGTGAAATTGCTCTCATGAAAGCTCTTCTTCCGATGTTCCCGTGTCTCATTCCTTTTCTCTCATTCCTTTCTTCTTTCCTCCCTCATCTTTAGTTCTTTTGAGGGTTTTTTGCTTATTCATTCATCTGTATGTTCGTTTGTTTGTTCATGTGTTCGTTCATTCATTTTTTAATTCATTCTTATTTGTGTTCATTCATTTGTTCACTCCATTCCTTTCTTTCTTTCTTTCTTTCGTTCTTTCTTTCTTTCTTTCTTTCTTTCTTTCTTTCTTATCTCTCCTTCTGTCTTACACTCTTTTTTCCTGACACCTTATATCCAGATGGCGGTGATTAGCGCATTGCAGACTGTCAAAAAATGACACAACAAAACAACGGCACGTAGATCGCTTGCTGAGTCTAATCACACTGCCATTTGATCAAACCGCAGTTCTCCCGACTTGAAGAAGGAACGTGATCGTTTCCACAGAGCCTTTCTCAGAGCATCCTGAGAGACTGTTCCCTCACTTTCACGGGGGCATTGAGTCACAAAGACCCCCACACACCCCCTCCTCAGCAACCGCTGTCACTCCGCTAGTTCTTTTCTCCTCCTCGCCGTGAAACCAGCTCAAACAAATTTGATTTAGCAGCTCGCCGAGACCCATTCCCGAGGAAAGAAAACAAATATTGTTATAATGGTAATAACATCTATTTGCCGCGCACGACAAACGGCACCGGGCCCTTTGAAAAGAGGCCCCTGCTCCTGCACAGCCACCTTATTCTTATTCATGAAAGCATCGCTTATGCATATTAGTGCAAACTAGGTATTCTACTCGCTAGCATTTGGACTGTCAATCATCCTTACAGAATACAAGAGGCAACGGTGACAAAAGCGGACCGGGCAAGAAGGCTGACAAATTGTCCCCAAAGTCAAATTTGACAGCCTTTTATGATTAATGGGCTTGATTATGGAGAAATATCTCCCTAACTGCTTTCCGGGTGTTTCTTTCTGCCATCGTATCGCGACAGAGATGGGAAAGAGGGGCTAAGCGGAGGTGCTGTTTGCAGTGAGAGAATGAAATAAACGTGAGCAGGGTTGAGTGAGAAGAAAAGAATTGAATTAGGCAGGAAAGGTTAGCATTTGGAAATAAAGAAGTGTAAAGAGGGGCAGGAAGGCCATAGGGCCTCACTAAACACTTAATAAAACAAATTCACACAGGGGTAAGCCTGGATTGATGCCACAGGGATGAGCATAAACAAATATACAGGGAGAAATGTACACAGACGCACGCTGATATTTAACTCCGCTGAACTCTGGGACATCATGGAAGAGAACTCTGGGAAATGGACAAGATGACATAATGGCCTCTTTCTGAGAGAACTGCAGTCAGTTAAATCAAATAAACTTCTTATTTTCGGTTTCTCCCGCAGCTCTGAACGAACCCACCATAGACTACGGCTTCCAGAGGCTACAAAAGGTCATCCCTCGTCACCCTGGAGACCCGGAGAGGTTACCTAAGGTAAGTGTGGTCGGCAGAAAATGCTTTCGCTGCATATTTTTCCGTTCTATTAAAATCACAGATTTTGTTTTCCCTGGCCATGCTTTGGATTTACACAAGCTCTCCTGCATTTGAAAGAAACACTTGAGATAAATTTGAAAATAGGTGTAAAGCATTCGCTAGATGGGAGTTGAATATTTCATCCTCAGATTTGGCGTTGCATCCCTAGTCTTGCTCAAAAGGACGAGTGTTTTCTTATGTCTGTGAAGCAAACCTTGTTTCTGAAAGCCCGAGGGTCTTCTGTTTGATAGCGTAGAAGAGCAGCTCACACTGGCTTGTGAATGAAAAAACAACTGTTTGTTTGATGCCGACTTTGAGAGGGTGAGATGGAGGTTAGATTGCCGCTGTTATGCATGCTGGTGGCACATTGCAGCTTTGGGGCAGCAACAAGCAACAAATCAAAGAACAAAGCTGATATGCATTGGGTGCAGACTGTGTGTGTGTGTGTGTGTGTGTGTATATACACGTCGATTCGAGCGTAAAAACTCAATGTGCCGTCAGGTGCCATGGGCGGTTTGCTGCCTGGTTAGTATGAAAAGATTATTTTCCCCTAAAAAGGCAGGAAGCTAAGTGATAGAGATTCTTTCGGGCAGGGCGCTGGTGTAGGAGGGGATCAGATCTGATGCGGACTGACACTTTAAAACAGCTGCCAAATTGAAACCATTTATCAAAATCTGACATCTGAGATCCAGTCACCAAAAAAGCAGTTTATTTGTAAATTGATACTAATAGTGAGCATACATTGTCTGGGTGCTTTGATGCTGCGATATGTGGCAAAGGGAGACCGCCAGCTATCACCTCTTATATACTTATACATTCAAGAGGAAAACTCAATAAGAATGTAGACAGGTTTTTTTCAGGCCGACTTTTTTCTGTTCCCGGTGTCTCGGTTTTTTGACACAGTCATATAAATAAATAACCAAGTAAATACATAAAGCAGTAAGTAGGTAAATAAATAACTAAGTGAATGAATAAGTAATTGAGCATGCAAATAAGTAAAAAAAAAACAAACAAATAAATAAATATAAAGTTTGGTAAATAACTATTCCAAGCTGTGCATGAACAACCTTGTTTGTCCATTTAACACTGTTATATGTTTCATAGATATAGATATATCTATATATTTTATTACACACACATACATATATATATATATATATAGACAAAATAAATAAATAAATAAATAAATATATAAGGTCTAAATATGGAAATATGCATAAACACACACACACACATTTGCTGATTGACTGTGTTTTAGCATATACTTGACTCCTTCCAAATCCTTGATCAGATCTGCAGTGTGTGTGCCAGTGATGGCCCCAGCATTTAGAAACCCAGCTGTGTTTGTCTGACGACCTTTGCTAGGGCCAGGCGTGTATCAGGTTTATCTATAATTTCATTTCCAGTCCCGGGTTTGGCCGTGAGCACACACCTCTCCATCCAGATAGATCAGGAATATGGATGTGATTCAGGACGCTGCTCTGTCCCGCAGGCAGCTGTGTTTCTCACTCGCATTTGGGACAGACGTTCACAGGCGGTCCCAGGTTACCGTAAGGTTAATGACCTGTGAGAGTCACTCTAATTGACACCTGGATTATGGCGTGTCTTATAAACTGAGAAGGGGGGTCTTTCTTAGCAACTGTTTCCAACACAAGACAAATTTATGCACATTAAATGAACTGAAAAAGTCCTGTTTGCATACTGAAATATTTGTAAATGGGCTTTCTGCTCAGTCAGTTGGGGAAGTCGTGGCCTAATGGTTAGAGAGTCAAACTCGTAACCCAAACGTCACTTTCACTTTCAGAGAGAATATGCATTTTATGTGCATGTGGCAGCTCCCAAAAGCGCTGGATAGGAGAGACTGGAGCTAGCTGTCACAGTTTGTACTTGAGTGAATATTTCTCAGAGTGGGTATAGTTAGTTTCTCAATAGATGCAAATTTTGACCTTAAAACGCTATTGAACTTTACACACTGTTTTACACACACTTTTGTGACAACATGCCCCAATGGTAAGGCATATTGTTACATTATGGGGTAAGTTAAAATAATTTGATTAACAGCCATTAAACTATATGAGGTAAAATATATACTATACTATACTATGGTAAACAGCAAATTAATTAGCTAAAATTAAACAGCAAAATAAAAAATAAAACAAAATGTAACAAAAAATACATTTGTGGAGTTGGATTTTTCACTCAAAAACCTTATACCGTTTTTATTCAGATATTGTCCTTGTGACAACTAGCCCCCTCTTCCTTTTCAAGTCCTGTTCATTCTACTATGTGCCCCTTTTAACAGGAAGTAGATTATTGACTTCCTTTGCCTTGTCATATTGGCACATTTTACTTTATCAGTTGCTCTTTATTAGCACAATAAGCTTATATGTGTGTGTGCAAGTGTTGTAATGTTGTATATGTATGTATGTGTGGTGGACCTCTGTTCACCAGGCTCAGTGTGTGTATGTGATTTATCATTGTTAGGGGACCTGTCGGATGGCTTGCTCTCGCGGGTCAGCTGATCTGCTCTCACCAGGCGCTTGAGAACCATCCTCCCATAATTGAGCCCCTGGAAAGAAAGCAAGGGGAAAACAGGAGGAAGAAAAGATAGGAGGAAGATACAAACAGGCTTGTCGGGAGACAGCCTTCAGGGTTAGAGAGCCGAGAGCCGGGCCAATCTAGAGTCAAACAGACTCACCTTGTTACCTGTGCTGAATGAACTGTAGAGCGTCTGAGCGACTCTTCGTGACCCATTCACCCACATACACTTCACACACAGACAGCGGGGGGCCGGGAGTGTTGAGATGGTTTCATGCTGTGATGCTGTGCTGTGGAGGTCTGTGAAAAGGAAAAGGAGAGGAACACAGCATCTCAATGCGCCGTAACACGTGCTCTCTGCCTTTTGGCAGGTAGAGTGAAGAGATTAACATGCAGACATGAATCCAGCTCATCCAGAACACCTCTCAGGGGAGAGAGCCGCTCACATGCCTCCCCGAGCGAATCTCTCCGAGTCCAAACCCTTTCTGGCCTGTCTCTTAAAAATAAAGGTTCCAATTAGAACCGAAAAGACTTTTACCGGCCGGTGTTCCACAAAGAACTTTTTTATATTTTACAGTTCTCAGATGATACTAATGCTAAAAACGATGCAAAATGCAAATAATGAAATGCATCTGTGCATATAATTGCACATAGTTAGGATAATAAAAAAGACCTTTTTTAAAAGGGAGGGAGATATCTTTTGTTTTTGAATGTAGGGATGCTTCGAAATAAACTTTATGGTACTTCAGTGCACATTTTACACAAATCTTTTGGTAATATGGCCAATACTAAAACAATATTTGCCCAAGTGTTATTTTAATATTATCTATGTATTAAAGTTTTATTAAAAATTGTAATTAGCTTTTATTTTATATTTTCAGTTTTCATTATTAACTTTTAATGTGCTTTTGTCATTTTTATTTTGTGAATATGACTAATTAGGGATATTGTTATTTCAGTTTCCGTTTTAGTTTTTATTTATTTCCAGTTAGTGATTTTAGTGCTTCAGCATAAACTTACTTCAGTTAGTTTCTAATTTTCAGTTAGTTTTAAAATGTTATTTTATTTCAGCTTTGTTTCAATTAACAAAAATGTTTTTAGTAGTCATACTTCTGCTGTTGTTTATGAATTATGCAACGTTTCAGGTTAATAATTTTGCAAGATGTCCTACATTTTGATGTTTGACTAACTGTACAGAGGCTATTTGAGTTGGAAGACCAAAGAACATTGTGTAAAGGTGTAATTACCAATATATTTATTTTTATTTAGTTGACCCAACTGAAAGTCATATGATTTACATACTGATCTAAAAAAAACGTCATTAATTAAAATAATATTTATTAATTGTTAATACTGTACTGTACTATTTAGTGTCCTAAGAACCAAATAGACAACTCAAGATACCTAGAAAAATGATTTTTCATATCAAGAGGATCTTAAGAAGCTGCAAAGAATGAGGAACCAGAAATCACAAAGTGGGACAATTCCTCCAATCGCTGACCCTGCAGAGGATCGCTCACAGTCCTCTTGGTAGCACAAGAGTGACTCCTGCCTTGTCCTTAACCTGTGACGCAAGGGACGTAAGGTCCCTCTGTAAGGTCCCATCACCTGATCCCCAGCATTGCCTGGGGCTCCCGGGTGAGGAAGAGAGGGTGTCAAATTGGGGCTTTGCTAAGAAAGACCACCACCCTAGAGTAATAAAGATCACAGGATGACTAATTGTATGCCTGGCAGGCGGCAGATCTTTACACCTCAACAGTCAGCTAATAAGACAAAAGGCCCAGCGCCTGTCTCTCCCAGGGCCAGGTGGCACACCTCTGGAGCCCAGAGCGAGGTCAGGTGCTCGGGCCGACCGGCTGTAATCATCAGCGGGTCTACTTGAGGGCAACTGCCACCTTATCAATCATTGATTGAATTTCATTAGGGGTTCAACAGAGTGAGTATTGAGCCTCGAAGTGATATTGGGGTTATAGTGCAGCTTGACTACAGGGAACGCAGCGCTGATTTGTGCTGGCAGACTTAATTTGAGAGGGAATGTGCTGGACTTTTTGTTTGGGCAGAGAAAGTGTGATGTGAAATAGTTTGTAGAGACGTGTGAGGGGTACGTGTGTAAAGTAGCCGCAGGTCGTTTTATAGACGCCACATAAATAATGAAGTAAAGCTAAGTCCACCAAGCAGAACTGTGCAATTTATTCACCTTGTGGCTGTTTGAAGTCATTTTATACCTCTCTCTCTTGCTTATTCGTTTTTCTTCATGCCTCACGTTCTTATATTTCTCAAATAATTATTTTCTTTTTTATATTTTACAGGCGAACAAAACAGTTTAGCTTTACATTATATTTATTCATATTTTTTTAATCCAAAGTGACTTTTAAATAAGGAATACAATGCTGTGAAACAAATATGCAAAATACATATAGTTT